TCACTTTCGAGAATTGTCGGCGATAGAATCGCGCGTCCTCCTGGCTCAGAGGGCGAGTGCGCACGCGAAAGCGCGTGCAAGCGCACCTGCAGACGTACTTTAATTCTCTGTTCTTATTTAATCAATTTTTTCTCTTCTCGTTAAGACTTTTTTCTCTAGTGATTGGGTCTCACAGATAGAATTAGAATCGTCGTCTCGTTCATTTGCTCGGTAGCTGCAAATTTACTCTGTAATTGTGCTATCTCACCCACCATGGGGAGAGAGAAGACTACATCGCCAGGAAAAAAGAAAAGACGCTACGCTGAAATGCCACCTACCCAGGAGCCCAAACACGCAGGTCGAATTATTTCAAATATATGCTTATAATCCGCTGCTGCCTTGTATCTTATTAGAGAGCCTCACAGAGAGAGTGACAAATTGTCTCACGTGACCCAGTCTCCTCTGATTGGACCTGTAATCAAGCTCCGTGGAACCATGGTGGGGGTATATCGTTTAGATTAGATGCAAAAGCAGTACTCTTGTCACCTTGTGCTGCAATTTTCTCCTCAATTTTACAATTGATAAGGTCTTTGTAAGTTATACATATTATTAATCTTGGAAATATATACCTTCCTCTATTGTACATGAAATATATACATGAAATAAAACGAATTTTTACATATTACAAAATGTCTGCTAGGTGCAATGTCCAAAATACACAAACTCTAATAAAGAAGGATATTGCTGCACAACATTTGCCCAAGATCCAAACTTGAGACAAAAACGGTTTGATGCTGCCAAATTTCTGATTGGGAAGCTTCAAAATCAGCTTCATTGTGTGAAGTTGGTACTAAAGCGTGCATACAAATGTTTTATAATGTAACTCGCGTAATCACCAACAACAAAAAATAAATTAATGTTATAATTTCTCACTCAATATCAATATATTAAATTTAATATAATGCGAGTGTATGTAACGATTACGTAGTTGCGTGAAAAATTCTAACATATCGATGTTACGTTAATGATAGTTGATAGGACCAATATTTTTCTCTAATGTGAACGAGGGTGGTCCCAGAAGTACCCGACCTCAAAGAAAACACAAAAAATTTGGGAAAAAATATCTTTATTTCTCAACATAGTCTCCTTTTAGCTCGATACATTTTTCCCAGCGATGTTCAACAGCTTCGATGGCCTGTTTATAGTAAGAACCGTTGAACTCCTCAAAATAGCCATTAACCGCAGACTCCACCTCTTCATTGTTGATAAATCTTCTACCACCAAGCCATTTTTTCAAGTTTGGAAAGAGAAAATAATCCAAGGGGGCTAAATCTGGCGAATAGGGTGCGTGGGGAAGCAATTCGAACTTTTGTTCGATTTGCTTTTGTTCGATTGTGAGCAAGCGCGGCACCTACCTTGCGCACAGCTTTCTCATCTCCAAATTTTCAGCCAATATGCGATGTACAGCACTTTTTGAAATGTTTACCATGTCTGCTAGCTCGCGCACTTTCAATCGACAGTCATCCAATACCATTTTGTGGATTTTCTTCACCATTTCTGGAATGGCCACCTCATTTGGTCGACCACTGCGATGTTCGTCTTCGCAGCTCGTACGGCCTCGTTTAAACTCTGCCACCCAATATTTTACTGTTGTAAACGAAGGAGCAGACTCCTCCAGAGTAGAATCCAGCTCGGCTTTGATATTGGTTGGGCTAAGACCTTTCAAACGAAAGTATTGTATCACATAACGATGACCAATTTTTTCCATCTTTGTAAATTCACCGAGATCGTTCACTATTGATGGCTGCCAAACAAATACTGAACAACGTAGAGTCTTCAAACTTCATAGTTAAGCTTCAGAAAGTTGATGCTTTTCCCTACAGTGATTTTTTTTATGCAACAACCGTCATTTGTACGTCAGGTCGGGTACTTCTGGGACCACCCTCGTACCTCTTATTTTTTAGATTCATTTCCATTCAGAATTATTCCGTGTTGGTAGCAAAAAAATTATGAGGAAAGATGCTATACCAAGTTTGTCTTGTAAATGTGATGAATCAGTAAAATTAGAAAGAAGAAAAAAATTGAAACATGTTATTCACAATAATAGTTGTTGCGTAAAAAAACTGCCTGTGGACATAAAAATGTTAGAGAAATCAGCTAATAAAACAGTATCTGCAACAAAAGGCAATATCAATGATATCTGCCATACGAATGTTGAACTCTTACAAACCTATGAAGTAATGCAAATTAAATTACTTTTATTATATAATTAAAATATTATATAAGAAAATGAAGTTTTAAAAGAAAGATTTCATCATTTACAAGATGATTTGACATATATAAAATCCTTTACATTTGATATATAGTGCTTTAACTTCTTCATCATGATGATTAATTTTGCATATATTATATTTCCAATTGGATAAATTCTGTAAGACGTCTTATTCTAAGAGAAAAAATTCTTAATATTACTTTTGATCATGATATATATGTTATTTATATAGAATTTATTGACGAAAGAACTGGAAAGGATACGGGCAGTAGGAGTCAAGCGCAGAAGACGTCGCGCAAATAATATATCTGCGAAGTGTGAAACTTCTTTATTTACTAAAACGCGCTTACATATTTTGGCTCACTTTTGAGCCTTCCTCAGAGACAACACAAATTAACATACATAAACTGTGAATAAAAATTATCCTATCATGGTGAGTTTCCCTACCTCGAGAATTTTAACGCCA